CGAGAGCTGGGCTTTTAAGAAGACAGCGTGTAATCAGATGCACAAATGAGCGTGGATGGGATGGGAAAAAGAAACAAAAGCAAATGGTGGCTGCAGACTCTGAAAGAAGGTCGGCCAGAGGAAGGACGGCCGACGAGGTGGTTGATGCCTCAGACCTAGTGGACCACATTCGATATAAGCACTGCCTTTCGATTTCTGCAACTGTGTAACTATAGGCAATGGTACGGAAGATTTTCGAGGCCGACTGCGTTACACAAGTTAAGCGTGATATGGAATATGTATGTATGTATGTATGTATGTATGTATGTATGTATGTATGTATGTATGTATGTATGTATGTATGTATGTATGTATGTATGTATGTATGTATGTATGTATGTATGTATGTATGTATGTATGTATGTATGTATGTATGTATGTATGTATGTATGTATGTATGTATGTATGTATGTATGTATGTATGTATGTATGTATGTATGTATGTATGTATGTATGTATGTGTGTGCGTGTGCGCGTGTGTGTGCGCGTGTGTGTGTGTGTGTGTGTGTGTGTGTGTGTGTGTGTGTGTTGCTAACAGAGGACGCGAAGTCGTCGTACACCTTCCAAGAAAAAGGTAGACATCAATGCCGATACGTTACGTAGCTTGCGTCGTGTGGTTTATTCAGCTTGTGACGAACCTGAATATAAACGCCTCTGCGCATTTGCGTTCATGCGCGCGGGTGTGTTAATACACATTGCGGACGGCGTTCATGTTTTTCAATCCATATCCAAAAAATAGGGTAGTTAACCTACTGGTAGACTTCCCGCTTCCTTCCACAAACCAATACACACCCCGTCGACGCGCTCTGCTGACATCAGAGGTGACGTTGACATACAAATGGGCAGTTGACGTGCGGTTTGATCATGCCGAATCGCACCTGTCGGTAAATTGCGGTAGGGTTCGGATCCCGGCTGTGGCGGCTGCATTTCCGATGGAGGCGGAAATGTTGTAGGCCCGTGTACTCAGATTTGGGTGCACGTTAAAGAACCCCAGGTGGTCAAAATTTCCGGAGCCCTCCACTACGGCGTCTCTCATAATCAAATGGTGGTTTTGGGACGTTAAACCCCACATATCAATCAATCAGTAAATTGCGGTAGCGGGAGACTTGACTCATATTACGGTTAGACTGTGCACCTGGCACGCACGTGACAAAACGTAAATATAATAACGATTGCCGTATGCGCGGTTGCCGTGCCGAGCGCCCTGCGTTCGCGGTTTTTTTTTTATTTATTTACAACGCCTCAGATGCCCAAGTTAAGAGGTTTTACGTGAGCAGTGGGCTGTGATAATGTTTTAAATGTGTTAATGCTTAATCGCTGCTCTGAAGTTGATAATACTGGAGCGGTGCACAACGTCAGTCGGAATGACAAAAAAAAAAAGGACGAAAGGTGCGCAGTGGTATATGAATAATTGGTGAGTACGCACGCAGATATATCGTGTCATTGATGCAATCTGAAGGGCGATGTGATGGCTTGATGGCGGAAGTACGAAGTAGTTCTTGATGAAAACTGAAGGAACGGGCACAGGCAAGCTATGCAGCGGCGCGGTGAAAGAACAGCAAGATTAGCGCGATGTTTAAGTTCGGTCACGCTGGAATGGTATGAGTAATCTGAAACACAAGTTTTGCTGCAATTGTGCGCACAGTAGTGTTTTAGTTATGTGCAACTGCTGAGGGTGTTACATTGGTTCCATTACCTTCTTGCTACCCATGCTTTCTATACGAAGAAGCGATGTACTGACCAACTAATTATGCCACCCAGTTGGGCGGGCCAATAGCAATCGCGTAGGTGGCTAATAAGATGAGGTACAGGGCTAAATATTAATCAACATATGCACGGCTTAAGCTGCCATGCAGTGTCCATACGCTGATAATCTTAAATGATGATCTGTTCTATACTTTGGCTGCACTTTCTCACTGGTGCTGGTTCAGCGCTCATTGACAATTACTGACCGAAATGCGTTGTACTTGTCAACAGACTCATTGTACGATTTTTTTCGGTCGTTCAAGACTGGACGATGCTCGCGCTTAGGAGATCTGTGCTTCCTGCGGAGATACTGGCGACACGGAGCAAGTCCTTTGGCTCGCCGCCATGATGGTACAGTGGTTACGCTGCTCGGCTACTGGCCTTAATGTCGCGGGTTAGATTCATCACTCTTCTCGTTCATATCGCCTGCCTAGACTGCCGGTCGTGTCAGCCGAGCATAGAGTAAGATATACCATGCTTGTTCCGATCAGCCCCAAGTCACAATAAGCCAGTCAATTTCTAGATTTTCTAGTAATTATATCGTAAATTTTCCGTTCACTAAATTCACCTACCCACCCTCACGCAGACAATAGACTCCACAAAATATTTCCCGTAAATCGCAGCAACAAATGTCGGTGGCGCGACACCACCACGACACTGGAACGCATAACTTACGAGTGCATGCACAACGTATACGACAGATGCCGTCTCGTCGCTAATTAAGGACGAACACATTAACTAGTCGTGGGAGGCGCGACTGTCCTAACCGAACTTGGGTAGTCAACTGGCGACCTTTGACCGGGCCCGGCGAGCGACAATAGCCAGTGGAGCCCCGAAACAGAATCTCCACTCACAGTAACCAAGGCTCCCACCCTCAGGCAAAATTTTGTTGACCTATCGAAGACACTGTTATCGTAGGCTTCATAAAACAAAGTTTTGTGACACAACGTCCGAACGGGCCAATTCCAAAGAAGGTGTAGTTACTTCACTTCGACTACCACATTTGTTCGCATACTACAGGTGCTTGCTAGCACTAGCTGGTGTTGTGCTAGTTAGTACTGTGCTAGTTAGTGCTGGTTGACGGCCAATGTCGGCGAGTACTTACTGACCTTGGCTGAACAATTGATAATTCCGGCTAGTATTTCTAACTGATGGCTAGTTGCCTAAATGATTATAAATATTGGTTAGCGTAGACTAATGTTAGCTATGAGCTGTTATTGTACTTAGCCATTGTCTTCAGGAAATCTTAACTAACTGGTTCTCCTGCAAACAAACATTTTTGTTACGTAGGGAGTTTCATAATTTTTTTCGCATTTATAAAACTCCCCTCCACACTCTTCTAAACACAATGCAGTATTGAGTACGTGAAAAAAAATAATAAAGAAACAAAAACGAATGTTGTAATTAGTATAGGTAGCGAATAATGTATTCAAGCTATCTGTGTACCCACATCAGCAGTGACGATTATAGTCCTAAACAAATTTATTAAGACTAAAAAGGAATGCAACAGTTTGATACAAAGTTCGTGCCCTTATATATAGACCACCCGCAGCCAAACTCGATACTCCTATATTGATCGTCAAAACGTCACCCCCCATTCATTCCAGCTTTATGACTGACCCACAAAGAAACGGGCGTATACCGTTTCACATCGACAGCATTACCCTCTCGGAACAGTAAGAATATTCTAAGTTCTTTAGAAACGGGGCTTATGAAAACTAAAATAGACTTTGAATATTCGATCAGCGTTCTTTCGAAACGCCCGTCCCTGCACAATTATCTCCCCCGCGGCAATGCTACCACTCGGTCACAGTCCGCTGTAGGGTATCATCGATTTTTTGTTTCTTTTTTTAGTCATCTCCACCCGAATCCTGTATTGTCGTCGTCACCGAAAGGCTTATGTTCACGACCACGCCGAAGTCCGCCCTTCGCATTGAACGAGTTACGGGTGAGATGCCTCCAAATGCAAGTTTATTCTTTTTCACAACGAAATAAAACCAAAAAAAAGCTACGGCGAAGAAGCGGCTAGTGCGGATAACCCTCCCTTTCAGACTGAACCCACTCCCCTCCACTTCTCGAAAGAAGTCCCGTTGAACCAGTTTCCATCACCTGGTTCAGCGATGTAGGTAACAAAAGAATCCGAGAAAGCGTGCGTCTCTTCTCTCAGCGACCCTCCCTCTCTTAACTTCCTCGGGGTGAAAGAGAAAAGGTAAGAAAGTGAAAAAGGAGAGAGGGAAAGGGCAGGTATAGGGAGGAGGGGGAGGTCGGAAAACGAAGATGACCGGCCACTGCAGCGTCGTCCTTTCCCGTCCGCGCTCGGGCCGGCCAGAAGAGTGACCGCTACGCCGGCGGTGTTTGCGCACGGTCAGTCAGTCTGGTCAGCTGGCGGGAGCAGCAGTGCGTGTCCGGCCGACGCCACCTGCGGTTGAGCACGGAGCGTTCGAGGACCGTTATATAAGGAACGTCGTTTCAAAGGAGCACGTTTTCTGCTGTCGATCGGAAGCGTCATCTTCCCGTATACGGTGTTACGACGGTGGCGCAGTGATGAGCAGGCGCCTGGATTCCGCGCCTGCTTCGACGGCCATGTCTTCGTGCGGACTCTTCGTAGCAGCAACGTGGGTTATCTGCGCCGCTTTCGTTCTCCCATTCGCGCACCCGGCGGAAGCCCAGACAGGAAGAGTGAGTGATGTTTATCGTGGAGCGGTGTTTACCGTCGGTAATGCCGCTATCGCTCGGGGATGTCATACACGACACCTCAGTGTGGCTATTATTTCGTGCTTACGTACGCACGCCACTGTTCGTAACAGTGAATGCACGCTGTCCTTGAAGTGTTTAGAAGAGCAAATTGCAATTTAGCTAAATTTTCTATTTGTACCAACAAGGCGACAAAACTGCAGGATATTAAATGACATTTGTTTTGCATTGTATACTCATATTGTATACGATATCAGTACATACTGGACAGCATTTACCTGGTTGTAGTAATCCCCCCGTGATGCAAGTTTCTGCCTGTTAATAGGACGTTTGTATCAACGCAATGATTCCGATATGTCCGGCGATTCAGATGAGAAAAAAATACTACTCGTGGCAGTTCAAGGACCACAACGTTATCAAATGAATCGATGTGCGTGAGAGCATTTGAAGGCAACCCGTCAAAGGCAACTCTCCGAGGACTTGAGTCTTTCTCGACAAACGACATAACACCAACAGGCGCGTTTCGATTCGGCACATTATGAACAGGCGATTCTTTATTTTTTTGAGTTCTGTACACACAACACACGCAGAATGGAAATTGTCGTGGCTGACGACCACATAAACGTACGGTAGAAAAGGGCGTGCGTCTGGTTAACCTTCCAGCCCCTCACTTATTTTTCTCTCGACCTATCAGAGACTAATATGTTCAAGGCACACGTCAGATAGGACAGGCTAAAGAATTGATGTCTCTGCACGATACTATCTTACAGGTACATGTCTTATAATCAACAGCGCTGTACATCGTAAAGCGAAAGCCACCTATACGCATTTCCAATGTCAAACAGCCAGACATTTATTTGCAGTTAAGGTATGAGCACTTAAGCTGCACCCCCGTCTGAATTCGCTATACAATGCACTTCGCTACAGAGAGTAGAGGGGTGGCGGCGAACAGCGGCAAGCGCTTCGCTATCCTCTCACAGGCGAAAGAAACGTTGAGCTGCGCACTTTTCAACGACCCACCGCTTAGGTACACCAAGACTCCAACGGCGACTAACAGTACGGACAACTTCCCCGCAGTAATGTGAAGACTCGATCGGGATGGGCGGACGTTTTCGTCGTTTTTTCTGCGCTTAAGCGGAGCTTCTAATCTCTCCTGGAATCCCAGGATGGCATCGCGAGCTCCTTCCCAAGAGTGTGGTCCTTGTAGTCTGTACTGGTAGTTGAGGACAGGTGACGTCACTAGAGCGTAGTAGAGTCTGGGGTCTGTGAGAAGCAACTTTAGGTAGTTTGGTTTAACGCCAATGACCTTCGCGAGATCGTCGACGTACGCGACCCTGTCTATCATCAAGGAGTGCCTAGGCGTCGGGATGAAGAAGGACTTCATCTTCCGCTGTGTGGAGGCCACATCGGCCTCCATGGCTTCCCTGGAAGGCAGCTTCACCTTCCCCGAGAAAACTTGCGCCACGTAGCGGGCCTGCATTTCGAACGCCTGCAGGAGGTTCGCGTTTCCGTCGACGAAGCCCAAGAAGGCGATGTTCGGGTTTGCCGGCGGAATCATCATCTTGTAGAGCAGGAGCCGTTCGCCGTCTCTGGGCAGGGCGTCGGTGGGGAACGGTAGGCCAGTTCTGAACCCCGTGGCGAAGACGACGACGTCCACGTCTTCTTCGACGTCGTTCATGACAAGTCCCCTCTCGGTGAACCTCTGCGGCGGTCCGCGTATCTTGACGGTGCCGTCCAGGATCTTGCCGTCTATGTACTGGTTGATGACCAGGCCCTGACTCATCACGTCATGACTGGGTTGGACGCCGAGCGCTTTGTGGTCCCAGGCGTCGTTAGCCAATCGCACTACGAATCGGTTGAAGAAAGAGAGGGGAAGCCAACTGTAGAGCCATAGGCGAGCCTGGTTCAGCACGTACACGTCGACGGGGACGGACTTGTAGTGGCATGGAAGTATCCAGTTGATCCGCCTAGTGCTGACGAAAACCTGCGTAACAATGATAATTTCCAAGCGTAAGGCGCACCGGCAACAACGGCAGAGGCATGGTCACACGCACGCAGCGCCACTTCTGACAGAAGAACCACTGTATCACTGATCTCGAATCAACTCCGCTGGTGGGCCGCGGTGACTGAATTGACTCTCCCTACGGGCAGGGGTGATGCAGGTCGGAGTGAGAGGTGGGGATAGGGTAGGAGGGGTGGAGGAGTTTGGAGAAGATTTAGGTGACGCTGCAGATTGATTGATTGATTGATTTGTGGGGTTTAACGTCCCAAAACCACCATATGATCATGAGAGACGCCGTAGTGGAGGGCTCCGGAAATTTTGACCACCTGGGGTTCTTTAACGTGCATCCAAATCTGAGCACACGGACCTACGACATTTCCGCCTCCTGCAGATTGATTGAAAGAAGGAAGGCATTTCGTATACCTAATATATATATGACTCATCTATTAAAGGGTAATTTACAGAAACATATCGATACCGACGTGCTCAACGACTCGAATCCGGAGTCCGACCCTGAACACAGTGTTTTTTTTTTTTCACCATTGTGCTTTTACGTTATAATTTCTCAAGCCCTGGGGAGTCAGTATACGATTAAGGTCCCCGACCACGTTTAAACCCCAAGATTTAACTTTAGTTTTAAGGCGTTTCAGTGGGACTGGTTGAAATACAAAGAACACGAAGCAACATGACAGACTAAAAAAAAAGAAGTAAAACGCACATACACACAAAGAACAAATACTTCCACAATCGCACTTCACTACAAGGAATGCCGATGAACGAGAATGTGCGAGTGGAATATGTGAACATAATAACCGTTGGGACTTCACGTCACGAAACCACGGTATCATTATAAGAGACGCCGTAGAAAATGTCGAACATCTGATGTTCAACATTCACATAGATCTACGCCTCTACGATGTCAGCTCTATCGAAATACTGCCGAGATTCGATCCCGCGACGTTTCGGTCTGCAGCTGAGCCACGTAACCACACGACCATGGCGGCTTTTTTTTTTTCTTTCACCATTCGCCACCAAGCGGCGGGTGGGACGATTGAACAAAAACAAGGTACGAGAAACGCCTGGTTCTCTTATGAATGGCGCGCAATTTCGTAACAGGCCGAAGCGATGTCATTGTCGTGCTCGAACGCGTGACTCACTACCGCTAATACGAACGTGCTCCCGGCACTGCACAATTGCTGAACACGTGCTGCAAACGTGCTGTTGATGCACGGTGTTCAACGTGCCATCCCTGACGGCGCATTCTCAAGAAAAAAAAAAGTGCCGCCATATCCATGAAGTGAATGATGATGAGTGGGCGAACCTCCGGAGGTAAACCTGGTAAACCATGAATCCTCTACACATTTTGCCCACTCGATTTTATTACAACGTTTCCCCTAGCGGACGTCCCCGCACTAAATTGAACGTTTGCCTTCCACCAATGACACGCGCCATATGTGACATCATTCCTTTTTTATAACATCTCGCATCTTTCGTCATCAACTACAACTACCGCCGTCATGTTTAAAACATCTTGCGTCTTTTCATTATCAGCTACAAGTACTGCCATCTGGTGAACACTGAAAGAACTAAACGAGAGGTGGCTACATACAGGGGACGCACAGCCCACGCCTTAAGGAGCTTCGTCCCTAAAAAAACTATGGCGCTAGAAATATGACCATTCAAAGGAGCACCAGCGGGATAAACTGTTTGTCTCGACGTATTTCATTACTCTTTCACAATACCAAAAACACCACGCTTCGTAAAACGAAGGGCTTGGTAAGCGAGAGAACGTGCCAAACGAAGATACGGGTGGCTCAAGTATCATCACTCTGTCACAATGCCTCCCGGGAACGTTTGGTCAAAATCTAAGAACTGAACGCAATCACTGCAACCTGCGCTGAGGCAAGCGCAGAACATTCAATTTTTTAGTCATTATTACAAGGCCACTAATAAATTAACACTTTTTATTCAGATACCCTAAAGGCCCAGAAGGTATTACATAGGGGGGGGGGGGGTGCAACATTGTATGGGGCAAATATCACACAAACAACTCTAAACAGTAATAAAAAGACATGAACATAGGCAAGTTAAAACCAAAAATATTTCAATCTTAAACCTCAAAGCTGCCTCCATTTCAATTTATAACACTTGCATATAATACTTCAAACATTTAAAACCCGATATCCACACAAACGGCCTTTTCATTCAGAAGTGATAGGCTGGCCTCAGTTTTGTTGAACACTCCCTCGAACATTCCCGTCACTCTCCGCAAATTCTTAATTTTCTAATTGCATCAATTAGCCTTAATGAAATTCTGCACGTGGGACTTTCATTTATATTTTCTTCTTGCGCAGTCATGCGGTCGCTTTTTCATGCGTTTATTTTCATTCGACATTCGCATCTACTCTGCATGGTAGTGGGCCTCGCCCGGTTCCTATGGCACACAAGCACTTGAGAAGTTTTATGGTGACCCCGCACAAGCAACGGCAAGCTAGGACAACTTCGCTGTCTAACAAGCAAGTTCCCGTTTTTCTGAATGTCAAACTATTCGGATTATTAGAGAATTAATCAATTAACACGAATTCATACCTGTCGTGCCACGGTGCTGAGGTTCACAGCGACGTCCATGGCCGAGTTGGCGAATCCCACGACGACCGCTGTTTTATCCCTGAACGAGTCGTCGGCGTACTTGTAGTCTCGCGAATGCATAACACGCCCTCGATACAGCTCGCGGCCCGGAACGTTCGGAATCAAAGGCGACCCGTGATGGCCCGTGCACACCAGGACCCCGTCGAAGACGTCCTCCCACTCTCGTCCGGTCGTCGAGTCCCGGATCCTCAGCGTGCCGTCTCGATCAAGCCTGAGGACCTCGTGGTCGAAGCGAATCTTCGACGTCACCCCGAAGTGGTCCGCGTAGCTGCGGATGTACTCCAAGGTCTGCCAGTGTGTCATGAACAGCGGCGCGTTCTTGTCCGGCGGGAAGTCGCTGTAACAGGACATTTCCTTGCTGGTATTGGCCACGGTGAACCGCATCACGGTACCGACGCCGGACTCGGGCGTCTCCTCCCGGTACCACCACAGCCCGCCGCAGTTGGACGCCTTTTCGAAGCATACCACGTCCAGGCCTTCTTCGAGGCACGCCTTGACGGCCGTGATGCCGCAGCAGCCAGAGCCCACCACGGCGACCCGCATCTTTTCGCCAGTAACGCACACCCGACGGTGTCGTTTGAAACGGCGCGAAGACGGGAAGCGGTGCTCAAGTACACCGTCGGGACAGCAGGACGCTACATTGCGTCACGGCGCCGGGAAAGTGCGCGATTAGATATCGTGTTTCCCGTGTATATCGCCACAGCTGTTCGCTTACCATTTATTTCATGTACCGTCGGCGGGGACTGCAGGCCCTTGCGAAAAAGATAACAGAAGTCGGTGACGCTGCTGCAAGCCTGAATGTAAAGCGTCATATGTGCAGCAGCTGCTTGAAACAGCCCCATCACGGGGTGCGTTGTGGGCAATAAGCGGAGCTGTCGCAGCAGATGATGAGATACGAAGGGCACGTAGCTGACGATAAGGCAATTTGACTGGGTAGGATACAATGTATTACTGCTCTTGTACTTCACTCGAACGAAGGGTTATACTCATACGGTGCACTTTGCGACGCTGCTCACTAATATTGCATCACTAGACGATGCGCCGCTGGTCAGAGTGTACTGAAAGCGGTTGATAGACTTACACGCATGATCGTCTACTAGACTAGCAATTGACGTTTCTACACTGTTATATCCTGCGTTTTATCTTTGCAGATTTTTTAGAACTGCATAATTTCTTCTGATGTAGGTTATCTTATTGACGAAAGGGTGCAATTTCTCTGCAAAAACTGGTGTTGATTTTTTTAAGATGATAAAATTTTGATGTTCAAAGTTAGATTTGTACAGCGTTTAGCATGCAGAGTAGTATAACGATAACATCCGCACAGGAATTTTATTTCATCGATAAGTTTTTTTTTCCGCGGACCTGCACCTCACGTGGTCTTGTCGCGCCTCCAGGATTGGTATTTCGAGATAGAGACCTGCAGACCTTTCGCTAACCGGCAACGTCATGCGAGAGCGTCATCATGTGACGTCACAAATGTGTGTTCAATTCCAATGGCTGAGTTTGAGAAGCAGTTGAACACCGATATCAAGCAGTCAACCCTGGCGTAGACACCTCCAAATCCGCAACACCTCTCAAACGCGATACCTCTCAGGCATCCCCGAATTTGCGACTGCAACACAAACCGCGGCGCTGGAGCAACGCGGAAGCTGAAGTTCTATTTATCGAGTACCGAGTTCTTCAAAATGCCCAACGTTAGCTATTACATTGCATGGTCAAATTTTGCCGATTACCCGCTGCACAGCTACACAAATCATTAACTGGCGTGCTCGAGTGGTGACTCTTTTGTGCGACAGCGCTGTACGATGAAGCCATGTCGCAAACAAGGTGAGTGTAAGCACTTGCCAACAAAGCGCGCTCAGTTGGGCCCGTCGTCTCCTGGGCTCTTCTTTCTCAGGGGCGTCGCCCCTTATTAGCGCACTTCAGGCGAACAGACAGCGTGAGAATGCCAATAATCTGGATTGTATTCTTTTTTCCGGAGATGAACGTGACAACGAGGAAGCGAGGAAACAACATTTAAAGATGGGCCACGTGCCATCGCTCGTGAAATAAGCAGTGTAACGCGGTTCATCTGAAGTGCGCTGATGGGTCTTCAAGACGGAACCACCCAACCGACGATGGGAGCAGCTGAGCGAACTTTGTGGGAAGGCGCCTGCCTTCGCCATGTTTGCAAATAGGCTCTGTACGGTGCTGATGAGCTTTCAAGTCACCGCTCGCGCACGCCAGGTAAAGATTTGGGCGGCTGTGCACAGCAGTTTCGGCGTCGCTGTCCCATGCGGGAGATGGAGCTTTCTGACTAGGGCAACGAAACTAATGCCCTAGTATTTGCTAAGCCATTCGAGTATCCACCATTAGTGAAAAAAAAAATGGTGGCATCCCTGATTAAGCAGGCAAACGTGTTAAAGGAAGTGCGTCACACAAAGGTCCAGTCCACTACGCCGATTTCGATGGGCCAACTTATTCAGCACCACAGAGTGACTGTCACTCGAAATTTACACCGACTCTCTCATTGGAATGCATGACACCCGTCCTCGCTCAGCCGTTGCATTGGACTTAATTGCTCCAAAAGAGGCACAAAAAATATCCTCCCGTGTGCTCAGATTTGGGTGCACGTTAAAGAACCCCAGGTGGTCGAAATTTCCGGAGCCCTCCACTAAGGCGTCTCTCATAATCATACGGTGGTTTTGGGACGTTAAACCCCACAAATCAACTCAATCAATCAACAAAAAATATCCTCACACTCCACCCCGTAGGTCAACACAAGTTTTCTGCACTTACCAAGAAGGAAAACTGGCGCTGCGCTCTGTTGAATGCTAAGGTACCTAGTGGGCGCGTGGGAATGCAGGGATATGCGAGTTTCGCACTTGGCTCGGTTTCGCATCGTGTACAGAGGGCCCGGACACCTCGAAGACGCGTGTGGCTCCAACGCGTTCGTTGCATCAAATGGTCGATCACGTGTGCTGACAAAGAGCACGCAGTGGGCTGTTACTTTTTGTAGCGTTATTTACGCTGGCCGAGCTAAAGCGGTTTCGCGTGCGCGCACAAGAGCCATGCTGCGTGTGCGCGAGTAACAGTTACCGCGCGTTCCTCGCCGGTGTGCCCACCGTCCATCCATCTGCGCTTCCGTCCGTCCGTCCGTTCTTTCGTCCAACCGTCTGTCCATCAATCCATCCATCAATCCGTCCATCAATCCGTGCGTGAGTCCATCCATGCGTCCACGCTTCTGTCCATCCTTACGTCCGTCAGTTCGTGCCTCTGTCCTTCCGGACGGACTTATGAACACACAGGACAGATGCTTCGTCCCACTCATCATCATTCCCTAGCTGCGTGGATATGCTGCAATTTTTTTCCTTCTTCCTTTTTTTTTGTGCTTGCGCCATGCACTCTCGGCCGTCAGCGTTACATAACGGCTTACATCGGCATCGGATAGTTGGAGAAGGTGATGTACTTTTGGCTTCATCGTAAAAAAAAAAACAGCACGGGTACAAAGGGGCAATAAAAACAACAGGACTTTGAGGTGGACAGCGCAATGTCTTTCTCGTCTCGTGTACCCGCGCTGTTTTTTTTTTTTTTTTTTTTGCGATGAAGCCATGCGAACAAGCTCCAGTTTTTTTTTTTTTCATTTTAAAGCAGTCTTTTAGTGCACTTTTAGTGCTCCCAGCAACAGATATACTTACTTTCGTGCTTCCTTCCAGTGACGCGTGAGCGTACATCCTTCGGGCGCTGCTTTCCCAACCGGTCCACTAGTCGTCCCTTTCATAAGCGTGCGCAAGGTTTACTATTAGGTGAAAGAAAAAAAAAGGGGGGGGGGTTACGTTTAACTGTAATACCTTTCCCCCCTAAAACGAGCTTTGTGATTGGTGCATAATTGAAAATGAAGCGACGAAACGCTTCTCACAAAGGCCTGCTATTGGTCAACGGCTTTCTGAGACAATGATGGAGTAAAAGTACTGCCCCCATCTCCCACCTTCCATACACACGGCTACGGTCCCTCGTGAAACAAACGTTGAGAGCTGGGCGTGTTAGCTCGGGTTCATATTCTAGCAAACTGACCGGCCTATTTTTCAAGATCCGAACGTAATTTCGAAGGATAGCAGATACATAGGTCGCAAGATAACAGAGACTGAATATGAGAAGAGAGGAATAAAGGTGCGTCAGAGAACACTTTATATGTTTGTCGTAGAAGGGGTATGCATATCTGCGTTGTACAGTGTCCTTTTTTTTTAATGAAAGGAAACACGCAAGACGACCTGCTGCACCGTAAGCTGACAGACAAAAAACAGTGCGTGCGCATTTGGTGGCATCGTCCGTTGCGAGACCAGAGCGAAAGTGCAACCTAGCAGGGCTTCTCCAACGGCCATGACTTTTTATTTTGTTTGCTAACATATGGCGCTAAAGCGAACGCGCTTTCTTTATCTGTCCTTTGACGGTGCTGTAGGCAGCCGCGGTAGAGCGCAGGCCACGCGCTCGCGTGTTCCCTTTCATAAAAAAAATGACACTGAAAGTGCTACTGTTCACTCACGTGACCTCCCACATGCACCTGACGAATTCAGTTTTTTTTTTCCTTTCCTGAGTGGGCGTTCTCGGTTCACTCTTCAACTTTGGCTGTGACACGTTGTATTTGCTATTTAAGACCCGTCAAGTTTTTCCATAAATCATTTGCGAGTCTGCGCTCGTGTCTCTTTTCGTTCTTTTTGTACGTGCCCTCTGCTTGCGCAGTTTGCGACAGGACTCTACAGCCCCTTGATAGGTGGTATATTTGAAAGCTTGCGCAGTGTCAGCAAAAGTGGGTGATGCCAGGATTTCGCGTGCAACTCTGAATATAAATATCTATAAATTAACGCTCGTACGCTGCTTCCTTTTATATGTGTGCGCCTTCTGCGGAAGCCTCTAAGTATGTCCCGGTTTGCTGTGGGTACAAGTAACGTACGTCGCAAGAGAGAAAAAAAATAAGCTAAGTCACATCGTCATTTCCTCTAGCACGACGAACAAGCCGTATCTTCATTGTGTCCTTTTTTATTATTCTTAACGTCCTTGTAATACCATCATTTCGCCATATCATGAAGTACATCAAGATTTAAAAAATACTGTTCACGTTTACTGCACAAACACACGTCTTTTTTTTTCTTTGTGCTCGGTTTGTTCACACGAACAGAAAAAAAAATTCAGCAACTGGTGTGAAGTTTCATCTACTACGAGAAAGCAGTAATGTACTAATTGTTCGAAATTAATAGTGATAATTATTCCTTACTTAAGCACCTCCTTCCTGACATTCATGTGAATCGCTCAATGCAGACATAACTATCCGCTTGTAATTAGTTTTACTTTCATCAGTTTATTACTAACGAATGCTAACACGAATGAAGAATTCGGGGAAAGCAGATATAGTTCAAAGTGGTCGAACGTTCATAATAGTGGCTGTGCTTCCTAAATAGTCTTATTAAATCGGGCATGATATCGTTCAGTCATTGTGATTGCCGGCATCACCACTCACAAATTGTTTTGCATCTTCAATGCGTACAGTCACATGCCTCAATATCTTGGCATCATAAATGTTACTAGAAACGGTTCAATAGACACATAGATAGATATGCGGGGTTTAACGTCCCAAAACCACCATATGGTTATGAGAGACGCCGTATTGGAGGACTCTGGAAATTTCAACCACCTGGGGTTCTTTATCGTGCGCCCAAATCTGAGCACACGGGCCTACAGCACTTTCACCTCCATCGAAAATGCAGCCGCCGCAGCCGTACTTTGATCCCGCGACCTGCGGGTCAGCAGCCGAGTACCTTAGCCACTAGACCATCGCGGCGGGGATAATGGTTCAATAGAATCCCTGTAGAAAGTGCCACCAGCGTTAAAGATAGGTTACTTTCATTTCATCACCGAACTAATATAACGCAGTCAACCGTATGAAACAACACCACCAATTACGAAAGTACAAAAGGTATAACAAAAGAACAGACAACTCGACAACGTCATTCTCACTGCAACGCGCTGCCATCCAGTGCGATTTCTCACGGGCTACAGCTTGCACAACTACCGTCCTTGTCAACATTCTCAAGGACTTTCCAGTGATGCGTGCTTTTGATGCATCGCCTCGTTCTGTTGCTTCCATTGTGTTTCAGTCGGCGTCATCAATCCTACGTAAGCTTGTCACTGGCGCACATCACAGTCTATCTGACCACACGAAAGAAAGGATCACATTGTCGCTTCATTGACGTTGGTCTACTATTATCTCAATGTTTTCTTTGTTTTTGCCCTAACACAAAGCAAAGCAAAAAGAAAATTAAGGAAGAGCTCAATCGGAGCCTCCACCGTAGAACGTCTCATCCCGTTCACATGACAGCAGCTGATACGTAGTCCTTGTCTGGATATCCCTCACGTAACAGTAACCTACGCAAGCACATCACTACACAGTCTTTTACATCCCTTCCTGGAAGAAATTCAACAACCCAAGAACTATCGTACGCAGCAAAACAATGTCTTTCGGCCTTCCTTTAAGTGCCATCAGTTCATTTGCCTAAAACAATAGCGCGCCTACACACCAGATGACCGCGCTAAAGAGCGGGAACTCCGAAGTGAGCATGACGGCCAGACAGAGAACAACGACGAGGACGACGACAGTGAGAAGTGTGATTTCCTGGGGCTTTCGCTCGGAGCGAGGCAGTCTCATGGGAGGCTTGAGCGGCGCCCTCATACGAGACTGGTAGCCCAGAATGGCGTCCCGGGCTCCGGGCCAGGCGTGCGGACCTTCCAGGCGGTACTTGTAGTTGAGCGCGGGAGCCTGGATTGCGGCGTAAAACAGCCACGGGTCCGTGAAGAGCATGCGACGGAAGTTCGGCCTGACTCCTATCATGGTCGCCAAGTCGCCGATGTAGGTTGCCTGGTCGACCATCATCGCGTGCCGCGGCGATGGCACGAAGAACCTACGGGCGTTCTCCATCTTCATCACGACTTCGGCGAGCATCGTGTTAGACGAGGGAAGCGTGAGCTTGTTCCTGAAGACCTGTACGGCGTAGCGGGACTGCATCTCGGAGATCATCAACATGCACGCGTTTACGTCGACAAAGCCGATGAAGGCGATTCGAGGGTGTTCCGGTGGGAATATTCGGTGGTACAGCAGGGGAAAGTTGCCGTCTTTACGTAGCACGCTGGAGGCGAAAGGTACGTCGTTCTTGTAGCCAGTGGCGAAGATCACCAGATCCGCAGGCTCCTCCACGTTGTCCATAATGACTCCGAGCTCCGTGAAGGCTTCGATCTCGCCCCGGAACTTGACTTGTCCGTTCAGAACCTTCTCAGGCAAAGCACTGTTGATGACTGCGTACTGAGCCAATAGCTCGTGCTGCGGCTCGAGTCCCAGTGCCTTGTGGTCGAAGGCGGAGTTCGCCACGTACTGCATGCACCACGAGCTCACTTTTGTCGGTATGTAGTCGTACAGAAACATGAACAGCTGTTTCGAGAAGGCCACGTCGATGGGGACGCCGCCGTAGTGACGCGGCACGACCCAGTTGGCTCTCCGCATGCTGAGAAAAACCTGCCAGAAATGAAAGTAGCAATTACAAGTCAGCCTCTTGGGAAACACTGATTGCGCAATGTTATACTCTCCCGTTAAGCATTACATTTCAGCTCTTGTGGGAGACGGTATATATCTGCACGTTCGGCAAGCTGGTGCGAGTAATTACTTGCTTAAATACGATGAGTAAAGGTCTGTAAAAGTAGCTGACGAGTAAATCGGACAGTTGTAAAAATTAGACTGCTGTTCTAACGTTTATAGTTGACGTATTTATCGAAGCACTGCCACTTTTGAAAGAAGACGTCGAAATATAGTCGTGCGGCCCACTGCATGGCAGTCACACCTATCCATGTTCTCGCTGGTTGGCTCACATGTACTTTGATACAACAGCAACCATCAAATAGAAACTGCAATACGTTGCTCAAAATCTGACTTGATAGCTGTGAATAGGACCTGGTTGTCATTTTACAGCTATTGATATCTTCCACATGGATGCACAAGGTGGTTCTGACATGGCGGCTTAGATGACAGTATGATCACGCGGAAATAAACCGGATGCAGTGTGATAACGGCATCGCTGGTACGTTCTTAGGCTTTTGTGAAAGAATAACAAAGGAACAATTATGCAATTGACCGATCACACTAAGGAGACGTCACACAGTTCGCGTCCCGCCATGTTGGTACTCCAATGAGGCTGAATGAGTGACCTCAGTGCTGGTCATTGGTACGAACCATAGCCACATCAGTACGACATTGAAACTTTTAGTTAAACCTCCGAATAAATTGCGATGTTACGTACCTGTTCGGCAACGTCGGCCATATCCACAGCGATGTCGACCGCCGAGTTGCCGAATCCGACGACCACCACCCTTTTCCCACGAATGCTTTCGTCGGTATATTTGTATTCTCTCGAGTGGATCACTCGTCCCTTGAACTTGTCCCTTCCAGGAATCACCGGCACCGACGGAATCGCGTGGTGTCCCGAGCAGATCATCACCCTGTCGAAGCTTTCTTCGAACTCCTCACCCGTCTCCAAGTTGCGCACCCTTAGCGTCAAGTCCTTGCCCACGTCGACGACCTTGTGCCTGAAGCGTATCCGAGGCGTCACCCTGAAGTGGTCCGCGTAGTCGCGGATGTACTGGAGCATCTTCTTGTGGCTCAGGAAGATGGGCCAGTCCTTGTCGGGCGGGAAGTCGCTGTAGACGCACATTTCCTTGCTCGTGTTGCACACCGTGAAGCGCATCACCGTGCCGGCGTCGAAGTCTTCCTCATGTTCTTCGTCGCGATACCACCACAGACCTCCGGAGTTCGAGGCCGCCTCGAAGCACACGACGTCCAGATTCTCTTCTAGGCATGCCTTGACGGCTGCGACGCCCGAGCATCCGGCTCCGATTACGGCGACCCTCATCGTAGAACCCTGGCACGACATCGGACCTGACAACAGGCCTAAAATGCTAGTCTTGGGTACATCAGACTTCGACGTCTCTGATGTAGAAGTAGCAGCCGGTTCAAGTATGGCAGCAATCTTAACGACGTCGCCGACAAGGGACTTTTTTTTTATCTTGGCATTGAGGCACAGTATATCCCTTAAAACACCAGTCGTTTGAAGGTACCTCACTACACGTCAGAAGCCTAGTGCGCCCCTTTTGAAGAAGACAGTGTCAAGGCACGGGATTATGAACTCACTTAGTCACAGGCGTTTTTCTCAAGGCGGGCAAGTGCTTTTTATGATGACTTGCTGGCGAAATGCGGTAAACGTACGTTGCCACGCACCCACATTAAAATGGCCGATCGGCTTCAAACCCTACGCTACGATGAGTAGACATCTGCGTTGGGCACTGCGGGGCCGGATCGTCTTCTGCTGGGAGCCCTACGAAAGGGCGGGGCACGTAAGGTACCTTACGACTCTACGGAAGAAGTTGATACACAAAGCTGGTGTTGCTTTATCTAACTGCTGCTGGTTCCGTGGCGTACTCTTAACGAAGGTCGCCTCGTCTGTCGCCGATCTGACACAGAGCGGGCACAGCGCACAGAAATGTGCGACCCGCAGCAGTACAGTACGAGCGTCAGCGAGTCGCACCCAGACATGACGGGAAAATGTACTTTCGCTGACACTGCTGTTATAATCCCAGCGTTCCGTCACAAAGCTTGAACGAGCGGCTTCGCCGGAGACAAAAAAAAAGATAATCGAAAGAACACATCGCTTCTTCTTTCCTTGTTTGCCTGTTGTCTCGCGGAGACGGCGTACTTTGGTATCTTGTTTTTTGTGAGGGCCCTTGGTCTCGTGTCAAAAGGTCTCAGGAGAAGGAAGCTCGTTGCCATTCGTCTCATGTTTCTTTCACGCGCTGAGCAGGGCCGAGCCGGCGCCATGACGGAGTAGATTTGCCCGAAATGTATTCAACGAATGGGTCGAATCTGCATCCACTCGAGCTCCGGTGCCGCTGGAACCAATTCGAAACGCTGACGGCCTCATCATCTTGTTGACCTTGACATGTGCTCCCACATTTTTGTTTGTTTTTGATTTATATCTGCGCACGTTGCCCAGGAAGAGACGAACCAAGCGACGTCACAGATAGTTAAGTACCAATGGTCGTAACCTTTTGACGTTGGTGGACGAAGGCGTTTGGAAGGGACGGTATGGAGTAGCAATCTACCAGTTCTCTTCATCAATCAGCATTCAAATCCTTCACTCATCGTTTTCCTTCAGTGTTCTAAATCCGAAAATTCGTTTTCCAACAGGTACTGTCTAGTGTGAGGGGAGCCGCACTTGATTTTCATCTTATTTTTCAGAAGGAAAAGGTCAAACAAATTTCTGTGACAAGATGGGAGGAAGAGCGCTTTCTAGTACAACCAAACACTTAAAATTTACTCGAAATCTCAAACATAACAATGGCTAAATAGCCTTGAACTAGACGTATGAAGCATTAAAATGTAATGTTCATGAACCCGATTCTTCTGAAGAAAAAATAACTTGCTATCGCGCTTTTATTTGATTTCCAGATGATTTTTACGTGCAAGAAGCTTCGAAATCCTTGTGGTTATATATAAAATAATTATATAAACATGACACCACAAGTCAATATAGCACAAATAAGCAGTGACATGGTTACATATGCCTGTCATTGCTTACAGTATCGCTACCCGTTTCTTGTGATGTAATACGTTGATGGCATCACGAATGTTATGTTTAGATCACTTATCTAACAACCATAGTGCCTCTTTTACTGACGTATAATAGCGCTGAATATGAGCAGAAGCCGGGTGCTGGTGTTTCAAGGGGCGACAACACTCGACGGTTTTACACCACGTCACAAAACTTGGTGCACGTAAGGGATTACGTTAACGCGTAGTTCGTAAACGAATGCTACGTTAACTAGTGTCATCGTGTGCACTCAGAGCCTCTTCAGTTACGGGCACCATGCTGCGACTCTTACCCCCGTATTCACAAACGCTTCTCGACTCGACTTTCCCCCTTCACTCGACAGAGTTGAACACTGCGCCAGTGCTCGGCTGAAAATGACGCTGTCCTACTCAAGAATTCCGGTAGATTATCGTAAATACACGGTGACTTACCGTGCCTATATAGAAGGCGCTCCCATTAGCTTTCTCAAGTGAAGGCGAAGTGTTGAGTGAAGGGACGCTCTAGAATACGGGGGTTACTGAAGACGACGGTACAAGGCATAGCGCCTGCATTTTTTTATCAAGTCGAAAGCCCTCGACGCCTCGTGAAACACAAAAATGGGACTTCTGCGTCGTCGGTGTCTGCACGAGTAGTAAGAAAGCCCTTCATCGTGTGATGACAACCATATGACGTCATCGTGACGTCGCATAGCGTAACGTCACACGATGACTTAATCGCATGACATCGTCGTTTGATCGAAGGTGCGGCCGATATATTGTTAATGCTGCGAAACCACGTGAAGGGCACAAGTATCGCAATGCCTGCGATCCCGGAGGCACGTCTGAAACCAAGTAAGGTGCCATACGTTTTCGGTAGAGATAAATACAATCATCTGAGAAGAAGAGTGCGAAGATGATATTCGATGATGAAACAAGTGCCAGTATGTACGAATACTAAGAGAGGACACAGCCCGCAGCGCTTACTACTAGCTGAAATTTTTAAAACACTCTTGTATATATATAACACGCATGCACGTCACCACAAATTACCCTTACTATCTCAGCGTAAATCAACGAAAGGCCACTACGAAAACCGATGTCGTACATACTGAACAATTGCATAGTTTTCTTGTTTGGGGGAGGTTTAACACGTGTTCAATTGCTGTATGCCATTGGTTATAGTAGCGGTCTTTCGTGAATTCACGCTGAGATAGTAAGGGTGGTTCGTGGTGACGTGCATGTGTGTTATATATATACAAGAGTGTTTTTCACGAAATGAAAAATTTCAGCTAGTAGTAAGCGCTGCGGGCTGTGTCTCTCTAAGTCTTCGTACATATTGGCGATACTTTCATCGTGAACTTATACATACATGCCCAACTGGTAGTCATTCTAGATGGTTTTTACCTTAGGGTCGTTTTAGACGAATTCGTAAGAAACTATCATTTTTTTTTCATACGTGAAGTCGATTTTTTTAGCATACGCAATAGAACTTACGCATCGACATGTAAAAATCATTTCAGAAAACCGTATCTTAATTTTGGACTGAGTGGTCACATCGATTTTTCTCACGAGTCCGTCCAGAGTATAACCGCGATAATTCAGCCCTAAGTTGAAAGGTCTCGGGTTATCTTCTTTTTAGGGGCGAGGCTCCTTAGGGCATGGGCTGTGCGTCCCCTGTGTGTAGCCACCTCTCGTTTAGTTCTTGGAGTGTTCACTAGATGGCGGTACTTGTAGCTGATGATTAAAAGATGCAAGATTTTATAATCTAGACGGCGGTACTTGTAGTTGATGATGAAATATGCGAGATGGTATAAAATAGGAATGAATTCACATATGGCGCGTGTCATTGGTGGAAGGCAATTGTTCGATCTAGTGCGGCGACGTACGTAAGTCGAGTGGGCAAAATGTACGGAGGATTCATGGTTTACCAGGTTTACGTCCGGAGCTTCACCCACTCATCATCATTCACTTCGTGGATATGGCGGCACTTTTTTTTTCTTGTTTATGCATTCCAATTCTGTGCTGATTATCTGTGTTGGAAGCCACCTCTGTGTTACCTGTCTCTAGTTATGCCTCTTAGTTTTTCCTTTTTATACGTTTTAGTGGCTTTATTCGAGGTGTAGGATGGGACAACTTTCCCCACAACAAACGCTTCCACAATCTGTGTCTCATTTCGGAGGCAGTGAGAAAAAGAGAATAGATTGGCTTTCCCAGTGATGTGTAGTATCGTCGACAGCGATGCATCCTGTACACCTCAGTATATCGAGCAACTTCAGACTTAATTCCCAGATGCATCTCCAATATAGTTAAGTAGATCTAGAGGGCAATTTAGAGACATCTAGGGACAATACAGAGTTCAATCTATTGTGAATGCTGCTTCCCGGCATACACAAAGAATTCACGTTTCCGTCTTGCCTCCCGCTTTTTTTTCTAAAAAAGAAAAAAAAACACGTCAAACCATGGGCATCACATACAAAATACGTTTGTGTCGAAATCGGGGGCGATCGTGGAAGTCGGCCGCCTCTCTTTTCCGAGAATAATGTCTCCGCGAACCACGCCCCGGCAGTTATATAGCCACGGAATCCGCATAAGAGAGATCGATTTGCAATGCAACGAGTCGGTGAAAGTGAGCGGGTGGCCCACTCATCCGTATGGCGAGCCTTGACGCATTCAAAGCCAAGTGTGCATGCACGGAGTCCAGGTCCGTGTACCCGTTACAAGCGTCACTGGCTGTGAGCGAGCTGCGGCGGTAATCTCCAGCCACGCTTTTTTTACGAAGAGCCGTTTCGTCGTGACGACCCTTTTGTGACTAAAGGATTTCGCTCTGCATGCACGGCTCACGAAGGACTCGTCCTTAAAGCCCCTGCTCGTTCCATCCCTCTCTATTTCACTCTCATTCTCGCTTTTATGGTAGGCGTTCTCGTATACATACTGCACCGTAGTTAAGCACGTGGCGTAAAAAAGAAATGGCGCAAGAAAGAAAAGGCTAGGCTCTATTTTCAATGCACAATGTAATCGACTCTATAGGATTCTATTCACAAGCTCACGAACGAAGCATTCAGGCGTCTCGTGAGTCACTGACGTTTAGGAAGCCCGCAATCCGATTGGACAACTGGCACAAGGTTTCGTCCTCATACGTTGTCGCCAAAACGCCTCCCAACGTTAACAAAGGAGTTTCCTTGAAATTTTGTATTAGGCCGTGATCTCAGCGGTATTGTGTTGCTGCCGTTTGCACTACGTGTCCGCGACCCTCAAGGTCCCGAATTGAATTATTCAAAGAGACACTGTAAAGAAAACTTTTTTGCGTATTAATAAATTGGTCTTCGACCACTACAAGGTCACCACCAAATGCCACGAGAATATGTCTGGCAAGCGACAAAAAAAAAAAACAAGAATGAAGTTGGGTGTGGAGACGCAGCCTTGAAGTTACCGCGACAAGCGGCAAGGCATCACGGATTTCCAAAGCATCTACTCGGTCCTAGCGCGGTTCATAAGTAATAAAAAATACATAAATTATCCTATGAGGCGACCATAAATTCCACATAGTATGTTTCAGAAAGTTTTGTAGAGGAAACATTGTGAAACACTGCGAAAGTACGAAAACTGCACTTTGAAATCTGCGACGTCACTCGCGAGATTTCGGTGCGAAATTTAAAAACGAAAGTTTCACCTTAGTTTTTTTTCTCTTCTACTGGCAAACCCATGAAACGAAAATGCAGAAATTAGTGTTCTCACATAAACATTTTGTCAATTTAAACAAAGTCTTTGTTTCACTTTAGCGTGCATTCAAAAAATGCAGTGTACTCTTGATTCTTTCTTTTTGTGTGTGTGTGTGTGTGTGTGTGTGTGTGAACCAGACGAGGACACAAGTCCTTCTAGCTTCGGCTCCACTGCAGTGAGCTTGACAGACCAAGCGTGCATAGATAAACGCTCTCACGCCACCAGCATGTACTAAACCTTTCACGGAGCTTCAATGTGGGACGACGGACCC